GACTAACTATGGAAGTTGGAGTCAGGAGGCAGATCCTTGGTTTCCAATCCTAAATCTGTCACCTGCTAACTATTTAACCACTTAATCTCTCTGTCTCAGTTTGCTCATCTGTAAAATGGGGATAAGAATATCTCTACTTCACAGAAGTGTTGTAAGTTTTAAATGAAGATAAAGCATGTAAATTGCCATGTGAACCTGAAGGTTTTATAAACATGTGATCTCTTACTATTACAAAGCTTATACATCTCATTGAGGTGTAAAAAATAAGTAGATTCAAATAGGCATAACTGATAATAATTCGTGGAAAATACATTATGGGGGGGGTGCTATGATGGGGAAAAGATCCAAAGTTCACAATCTGAAGAACTGGTGGTTTTGAAGTATCAATTTACTTTTCGCTAGATTGGCATGCATACACATGTGCACAACCTTTCAAACAGGATACACTGGAATTTAGAGACAAGGTCAGAACGTATTACCTTCTAAAACTGAAGTTAATAAGAAGCAACATAAAGATAGGTCATTAGGAAGCTGCAGTAGCAGGCCATTCCAAGAAATGATATCCCTAGATTACAGAAGGGAAATCCATCCACTTTCAGGAGCATGACTAAAATATCCCTTTAAAAATGTATTTTGCTCTGCTTCTCTGATCACCAACCAATCTTCTCTTTTACAATTTGGTTTCTGGAGTAGACCTATTTCTAGGATAGAACAGTCCCATGCAAAGGCTTGAGGAAATTCGAATTTTATGCTAATAAATTGATAGTCCACTTTACAATTCATTTTTTTTTTGGTTTAGGTAGCATGGATTTGTATGACTGAGCCTGTGTACCTCTGGGTGAATGGAAGGGGTGATATTTCTGAGCCAACTGAACTGAGGATCAGACCTTTGATCTGAAGTGACCCCTTGGGTCACAGACTAACCATTGGCTACACCTCTTCCCCCAACCCCAGTCATCTTCTTTAATATCATCTTTTAGATGAAATAAATTGATTTTATCAATTGATGCCTTCTATATAGCAAGGAAGCTAGGTGGCACAGTGGATAAAGTGCAGGGCCTAAAGTCAGGAAGACTCATCATCTTGGGTTCAAATCTGGCCTGAGACACTTAGTGGCTATGTGAACCTGGGCAAGTCACTTAATCTGGTTTGCCTCAGTTTCCTCATCTGCAAAATGAGCTGGAGAAGGAAATGGCAAACCACTCTAATATTTGTCAAGAAAACCCCAAATGGGGTCATAGAGAGTCAGACACAATCGAAACAACTGAACAACAATCTTCTTATCATATACTACCGCAGCTAGGTGGCCCAGTGGATAGAACTCTGGCCTTGGAATCAGGAGGACCTGAGTTCAAGTCCAGCCTTAGACATTTGACACTTACTAGCTATGTGACCCTGGGCAAGTCACTTAAACCCAACTGCCTCACCAAAAAGCAAAAAAAAAAAATCATATACTACCAGGAATGATACAAAATTCACCGTTTATCAAATGAGGCGATAGTACCTAATTCATTTTTTTAAAAAAAAGCATGCCTTGCCTTATGAATTATAACACAGGCAAGATGATGCAGTGGCAGGGTACTTTATTTAGATCAGAGGATCTGTGTTCAAGTCACCACTGCCATTTTTTGGTCATGTGACTTTGAGTAAATCATTTACTTTTCCTTGACCTTAGCTTTTTCACCTATAAAATGAGGATAATATTTTTATAATCTAAATCCAGGGCTTTTATGAAGAAAGCATTGTAAATTTTAAAATACTATGTCATTTATTATTATAACATTCTGAGCTTCACTTAATTAATTCTGCTCAACATTTCATTTTTCTTCTAAGTATTTTGTTACTGTTTCCTCTCCCACGAAAATCCAGATTCAGGTTTCCTTTAGTGTATGTTCTTGCATGTAAACCCATCAGATGCTGACCAAGGATTAAGGGACAGAGAAAGACAGTGTATGATGAAAGAAAGGGAATTGGACAAATGTGAGAAGCCCAAGGTTGTGAGGGTCAGATGAGTTAAATACAGCACAAACATCTGTTCTTTTATATATTCATCCATCCATGTACCCATTTGTTGGTCTGTTCACTGCATATGGAGTCAGAAAAACTTTGGTACAAGAAGGTTCTTTGCTCAGGAAGCTCCAGTAGCTTCCTCTTTCTTGTCTCTGGGATGAATAAGTCCTTCCGTTTAACATTTAAAGCTCTTCGTAATCTAACTCTGGCCGACCCTTCCAGAATTACTGCATATCACTCGCCTTTACTCATTGTTCCAGCCAAACTGGCCTGTGCCTTGTTCCCTTTCTAAGGCATTCCATCTCTGGTCTCTAGCCCATTGCAGTCCGGAATGCAAGGCCTTTTCACCTCCACCTTACAGGATCCCTAGGTTCCTTCAAGGCTTGCAATTAAGTGTCACTTCCTAAACAAGGCCTATCTTGATCCCCTCACTTACTTGTCCATCTGCTTCTAAAAATTCTCCATCCCCTCTTTCAACAAAGGGCAGAGACTATTTCTTTTTTCTCTTTGTATACTTAGCACCTACCATGTTGACTATCAGATAGTGGTTGATTAATGAAAGCTTATTGAATTAATGAATGAATGAATGAACACATATAGGGATGAGAGAAGAATTTATTGTACACTGGAGAAAGGTAATATTTGATTAGTTTAGTTCCATTGTCAGAAATCACCTTTGCATGTTTCTAATTTTCATTGTCTTGGTATTAAGTAACATGTACAAATATATGGTAATTTTCTCCTCACCCTGAATGCCATATAAAAACTTTTTAAATATTATTGTTTTGGTTCTTCCCTGAAAACTATCTTGTAGATAGTCTCAGGGGTAGGGAACCTGCAGCCTCCAGACCACATGTGGCCCTCTAGGTCCTCGGGTGTGGCCCTTTGACTGAATCCAAACTTCACAAAACAAATCCCCTTAATAAAAGGATTTGTTCAGTAAAACTTGAACTGAGTCAAAAGGCCACACCCAAGGACCTAGAAGGCCACATGTGGCCTGGAGGCTGCAGGTTCCCCACCCCTAGGATAGATAGTCTAATGGTGGATTGATTGGGTCTTTCTGGCCCTTTTACATTATACCCTAAAATTTTTTTGTTTTGCAAAGACTTAAAATTGAGGATCAAATATTTGCATGATGAACATCTAACTGTAATGTCCTGTGGATGAGTTTTAAACACAAGGTCTCATATGAAAAGAACACAGCATTAAGAGCCAGGTGACCTGGATTTAATTCTTGTCTCTACAACCAACTGGCTGAATTTTGGGCAAATCTCTTCCCCTCTCTGAGGCTTGTTGCCTCAGTTATAAAATAAGGTTTTGGACTATAAATTTATAGATTTTAGGACTGGAAGAAGCCTTCAGAGTCATCTAATCCAATACTCTTATTTTACAGATGAGAAATTGAAGCCCAAATTGGATGAAAGACTTGCCCAAGGTCACACAGATAGTGACTGAACCTGTGTTGGAACCTAGGTCTCTTTCCACCTCATCTCTTTATTTCCTTCCAGCTCCAGCAATCTCTGCTAAATATATAATAAGATTATTGTTCTTGGAATTAAAAAAAACAAAAACATGGGTTTAAATCTTAGCTCTGTTATTTACTGGCAGTGTGACCTTGGCCATGTCATTGTATCTTTTTTGAGAACTAATTTCCTCATCTGTAAAATAGTGATGGGTTTTTGGGATGTTGTCCCCTCCCCCCATTAGACTATGTACTCCTGAAGGCTATTTCCACCTCTCTTTGTCTCCCCAGTGCTTGGCACAGTACCTGGTACACTTTAAGTACTTAATAAATGCTTGTTGACTTGATTTGACTTGGTGCTTATAATATTTGAGCTACCCATATTCTGGAAATAGAGTTACGGAGATCTAAGTTCAAATCTGGACTCCAACACTTCTTGACTGTGTGACCCTTAGGCAAGTCATTGATCTCCATTGGCCTCAGTTTCTTCATCTATAAAATGGGGATAATAATAGCACCTACCTCCCAGGGTTGTTGTAAAGATAACAGAAGATAATATTTGTAAAGTGTGTCATAAAACTTTAAGACCTACATAAATCCAAACTATTATTTGCTATTATTACTATCAGGAAAGTTCTTTCCAAACGTGAAAGCTAAAGCAATGGGTTGCTTTTTTTACCCCCTCTATAATTTAGAATTAGAGATGAAGTCCTGGACTCAAGACAGCAAACTTAGGTTTGCCTCTGAAACTTACTAATTATTTGAGACTGGCCACAATCATGCTTTCTGTGCCTTGTGCCCACTACTCAGACAAACATTAGCAGGAAAATGACAAGGTAACGAGGTGGTTGGGGTGACATCTACTCAAACCTTTCTTTGCATGGTACTGCTGGGTGATTCAGTAAGTGACTCACAAGTGACTAGCTCAGCTGGCACGTTCCTTCCCATGATTCATGAGACTGAATCCAAGCACATCATCTTGGAAATACCAAGAAACCTGCTTCCCTATAAAGATACCCTGCCTGAGGTATCAGGACACTCGTCACTTCTGTCCCAGCTAAAATTGCTCCTTCTATAGGAAGCCTTGCTTACCCATTCCCCCATCCTAGTGCCTCTCCTCTGTTGACTATTTCCTAAGAATCCCTGTTGGCATATAGTTATTTTTATTCTCTCTCCCCCATTACATTGTAAGGTGCTTGAGGGCAAAGACTGTCTTTTGCCTTTTTTTGTATTCCCTGTGCCCAACACGGTCCCTGACACATAGTACGTGCTTAATAAATCCTTATTGACTACTTGTCCTAGAAACTGAGTGGACCACACTGCATCATTTAATAACTATGTAACTGGATGGATTTACCATCTGGTAAGCCTTAACTCCTTGAGGACAAAATGTCCATTGACATTGTGTGACCAAGCAGGAGGAAGCAGTATCATCAACCATAAGAGTTTGGGAGTCAATGCTGTAGAATCTATAGTGAAGGCTGCCTAGCAGTAAGGAAGCACTGGCTCATAGATCTTGAAGCCTTACCCCGTAGTTCTTCAAGCTGGGCGCCTTCATTGTGCTCCACTCTCTGCTCCTTGCTAGCATTCCCTGTAAAGAAAAGATGAAAAAAAAAATACCAGGAATATTCTCCCTTCCCTAAAATGTGCTTAGAGACAGGAATCAGTGTGGTACCCTGGAAAGGTCATAAATTTGGAGTCAAAGGACCTGGGTTTGAATCTAGGCTCTACCAATTCCTACCTGTGTGATCTCAAGAAAGAGACTTCACCTTAGTTTCCTTAACTGTGAAAAGACAAGCTTGGATAAGATTATCTCAGATCATTTCCAGCTTTACATCTTAATCTTATGACTACTAAAATCTCTACAATGTCTCCCTCCTACCCTTTCCTCTTAAAATACTGCGAACATGGGCCCTGTAAATGACTATATGTTAGAACTTCCTTTCTTCACTCGGGAAAAGGACACTGGAGTAACACAACAGCCAGCCAGTCAGAAGGGTTTCTGAGGCTCAGAGACGCTTGACATACCAGTGATCCTTTGTGAGAGAACTCTAGCCAAATCTGGAGATACCTGAGGTGCCAGAAACCACAGAACAAGACTTGTTCAGCTCAAGGGCAACCTTGGACAGAAGCTACAGACTCAAGACCTTGTTTGAGATTTTCTAAACATACCGGCCTATTGTGTCGATAGACATCCCTTGACCTTTAAGCCCAATCCCTGCTTGAAAGCCTCTAGAAACAATATATCTCACCCCTTTTCCATTTCCCTTTGAGCAGCTGAGAACTCTCTCCCTCTCCTCTCCCTAACAACTTCTTCTTAGACAATAAATGCTTTTAATTGGCCTATTGGACTCTGTTTCATTTCAGGTGCCTTAATGAGCCTGGGGGTCTTTTGTTAACAATGCTTAGCTCAGTGAAGATGCTAGCTCCTACAGAAAACCTTTACTTCATCCCTTCTTGTAGTAGCTTAATAAAGCCTTCTTGTATTTAACTGGGTCCTGGAAGGAGCCTCAGAATGCTTTAACTCCAATTGCTATATTCCATCTGGACTATGCTTGAAAACATACAGTGAGAAGCAAGTTCAATAGTTACTCATTTCATTTTTTGGACAGCTCTAATTATCAGGAAGAATTTCCTTATTTTGAGCAGAACTACACCTTTCTTCAATTTTCAGCAACTGTTCCCAGATTTGTCCTATGAGGCCACATGAAATCTTTCTAATGCTTCCTCATATTACTTATGCATAGTTACCCATTTTTATATTCCGCTTCCTTATAATAGACCATAAAGTCCTTGGAGGGAAAAGTTTTGTTTTGTTTTGTTTTGTATTCCCATCCCTATTATAGTGCCTTGAATATTTTGCAGGTGCTTAATAAGTGTTCAATAACAAATTGAATTGGCTCGGTGTGGTAGAAAGAATACTGGATTTGGAACCAAAGGAGGAGCAGGCTTGAGTTCCAGCTCTAATAATTAATACCTGCATGACCTCTGGCGCCAAGTCCTTTAACCTCTTGGGCCCTCATCTTTTTCCTCTGTAGAACTTGTATTGGACTGGCTGGACTCTTAAGATCTCTTTCAGCTCTAAATCCTACAATCCTGCTCTTATTTTTTTAAAAAAGATGACATTTCACAACAACAAAAACGAGAAGGAAAACAACAAATGCCATTTATAAGAGCAACATCACGTATTTGATATTTTAAAATATGTGACATTGAACACATGGCAAGAGTAAACAGAGAGTGAGATCACCATGGCATCACTCCTGTTCCATTTTGGTACTAACATTCTAAGTATAATCAGACTATTAATGGAAATTGCCTTTTCACCCATGCCATATCCATAGATTATCAGTCTTATTAAAGTAGAATCCATAGGGCATTGCTTTTTGTTAATAAAGAATAATCATCCTTTGTTTCACTCACTGATTAGTGTCTAAATGTCTGAAATATGTCTAGCATCCATAGAAACAAAATCTTTGAAGATCAGTATTGAATAAAACTTTCCAAAAGACTGGGAAAATGAAAGAGATATCCCTTTTCAAGTTTCCACTGTGACATGGAAACAGAATTGAAGAGAATTCTCTGACTTCTAAAACCTGAAGATATGAGGGAGTCGAGGTCTAAATGCTCATGGGAATCTAGTGCGGGCAGAGAAACCAAGGCTTGGCTGTCTTCTATTTTACTTCCTTGTTAGGTTACATAATGCAATGAACTCACAAATGATAAACTTTGGAGGGAGGAGAGATTGAAATGATTATGTAAGTAGGTGTCCACAAGAATAATCATCATCAGAATAATGGCCCCTGGGTTTAGAGAGCTTAACAGTTTACCTAGTGTTTTGCAGATATTTCACTGGATCCTCACAGAGGAAATGGGGGAGGGAAAGGAATAAGCATTTATTAAATGCCTATTTTGTGCCAGTCACCATGCAAAGCACTTTACAAATATTATCTTGTTTTACCCTCAAAACAATTCTGTGAAGTAGGTTCTATTATTAACTACATTTTACAACTGAAAAGACTGAGGCAAACAGAGATTAAGTGACTTGTCCAGGGTGACACAGCTAGTAAGTGTCTCAGGGTGAGTTTGAACTCAAATCTTCCTGCCTCCAGGCCCAGAACTCTATTCACAACATTACTTAGCTTCTAGCTGCCAAGATAACAATACTGAAATATCCTGCATGTGTGTTTACACACACATATATATATACACACACACATATATATGTGTATGTATATATGTATGTTGTGCATAATTTGTATATATACATACACACACACACACACACACACACACACACACACACACACATATATATATATGTCTTTTTTGCACATAGATGGTTACACATTTTCATTCCCATTAAACTGGGAGCTCTTTGACAGCAGGGATTGTCTTTTGCCTTTCTTTGTATCTCCAGTTCTCAATAAATGTTTATAGATTGACCTTGATACATAGACAGGGTAGGTGTTTATTATAATCCCCATTTCACAGATAAGGAAATTGAGGCTCCAAGCAGTTAAATGACTTGCCAGAGAGCTATAAGTGGAAAAGCCTGGCCTTGAACCCAACTCTTCTGAGTACAAAATTAGGGCTGTATATTTGGGCATTAGCTATGTTTCTACTCTTGAATAGATCTGTTGAATTAATATTTGAAAAGTCATATTTTCTACTGAGTTGATCTCCACTTCCTTAAATCCCTCCCAGCATTTTGTTCACACCACGTCTGTGCCTATTACAGTATAATTTGTGCTGTTGCTATTTATTTGTGAGAGGCAAGATGGTATAGCAGAGAGAATACTGACTTTAGAGCCTACAGAATTGGGTTCAAATCTGACCTCTGTCACTTACTACCTCTGAGACCTCAGACAAGTCACTTAATACCTCTAGGCCCTAGTTTTCTCATCTATAAAATATGGTTGCTGTTAAGTCATTTTTCATGTTCATGTTGACTCTTCATGACCCTATTTTTTCTTGGCAAAGATACTGGAGTGGTTTGCCATTTCCTTTTCCAGCTCATCTGACAGATGAGGAAACTGAGGCAAACAGAGTTAAGTGACTTGCCCAGGACCACTCAGCTAGTAAGTGTCTGAGGCCATATTTGAACTCAGGCAGATGAGTCTTCCTGACTCCAGGTCTTGATCTTTATCCACTGCACCACCTACCTGACCATAAAATATTGAGGCTGACTAGATGGTCTTCTCTACCTCTTCATCTTTGATCTCAGAGTAATGATTCTAGTGGCTTGCATGCATTTGAGTGAATGTCATAGTGAGGGTTCATGTATTTAATTTGTGTTTGCTCCAATAACTCTGGATCTTGCCTTCAACATCTCACCAAAAAGTGGTGCTCCATTATATCAATGTTAATTGCACAAGGATCTTGTCATCTCAAAGACTTATGGAAATCCTTCCTCCTTAAAACAGTCATAGAATCTCAAATCTAATAGAATCTAAGTTCTTTGAGGTTATATTTTACTTTTCTTTATGGTCTTAGCACCTATCTAGCACAGTAGGTATTTAATAAATGCTTGTTGAATGAAATTGATTAGAAAGCTGAAAGTAATCTTGGACTATTTCACATCCAACTGTTATTTCAGCAGGAATCCCTCATATAATAGCCCATCTAGACTATCTTGAAAACCTCCCAAAGTTGCTCAATTCATTTTTGAGCAACTCAAATTGTTCATTTTTAGTTGAAATATACTTCCCTATAGCTTCCACCTATTACCACTAGTTCTACCCTCCAGGGCCAAGTAAAATGTGCCAAGACTCTCTTTGAATTCCTTCCAATACTTAAGTCAGTAATCATGGCACCAGACCTCCAGAATCATGGAGAAGGAAGAAACATCAGAAGACATCTAGTCCAATCTGTACATAAACAAGAACCTCCTCCTCAACAAATAATCATGCAGCTTTCCTCAAAGACCTCCAATCTTCCCTCACTACCACCAAGTTTCTTGCACTTTTGGACAGCTCTCATTGCTTGAAAATCATCTCTTCTCTCCAACTCCCAAGTTAAACCCAAATCTGCTCTTTGTAACTTCAAGCCACTCTTACTAGTTCTTCTGCATTCTACAAGCAAAAAGGACAAGTTTAATCCCACTTACATATGCTAGACCTTCAAATAAAATTTTCTCTTCTCCAGGCCAGAGATCACCAGTTATTTCAATCAATCCTCAAATAGCATGCTCTATAAATTATGCCGCTTGTCCTCCTTTGGATTTTCTCCAGTTTATTATCACCCTTCCTAAAATGAGGTACCTAGAACTTAAAATAATTCTCAACATATGGTCTAATGAAGGCAACACAATAGCACTATTTCTTCCCTAATCCTAGAAACTGTCCTCTTAATACAGTCGAAGATTGTAATAGATCACTTGGTTGCATATCAGTGTTCAGTCTGAAGTCCACAAAATCCCTCAGATCCTTATAGAACAAAATGCTATCTGACCATACCTCTCTTTACATTTCTTCTCATTAAATTTCTTTCTTTCTTTCTTTTTTTTGGAGGCAATCAAGGTTAAGTGACTTGCCCAGGATCACACAGTAGTAAGTGTCTGAGGCTGGTTTTGAACTCAAGTCCTCCTGA